CTCGAGGATAGGTCCACACTCCGAATGATAACCTCTTCGTTCCACGTTTAAGCTTCATCAGCAATCTGTTTTCTGAGCCAGCAATGTTTGATGACATGTTCAACTGGAGTGCACTTTGACTACCTCCCGATATGGCTGCTACATTCATCGTGCAAGTTTTCAATTTCCCCAGTAAATTTCAAAAAAAAGTAACATAATTCGAAACAGCGCAGTGGCAAACTTTTCGACCGACGCAGAAGGCTCCTGTTGATTGTGTATTGTTTGGTTTGTTTTGCAAGGCACAGGTTACCAAAGGGGAAGGGGGGGGGGGAGGGGAGGGGAGGCAGAGCCCCCAAATCGTCTGCTGCCCCTCCAAAGGAGACGACAAACGAAAACGCGATCTTGCTCTTCACCCTTTTCTAGCCCTGCGACGCATCGCTAAAGGTTGTGGTCAAGAAAAGCGAAAAAAAAGGGTAATCTTTTAAAATTTTTTTGGCCCTTGCTTGCGTTTTGAACTGCGAGTTGTTTTCTTTGCGTGCACGCCTTTTGCTGAATTTTTCATGAACCACCCTTTCACTGTTTCATTCGCGAGCGAGTTGTGAATTGTAAACACTGGCGTTTAGGCTTTCCTTTCTCAAATCCAGCTGCTTGATTTACTTTCACTTTCTCTTCAAGCAACAGTCGTAACTTTTTTCAATGAGAAGAAGTCCTGGCCTCCTTTGCCTCGCTCTGATGGAAACTGTGGCCCCCTGGAATGGATTTAGTGGTGTCATGTTTGGGAAATGCAGCCTGCTGCAAGCCCCTTGTTCCACTGATTTTCTTTCCAAAACATGCTTTGCTTTGAAGCCTCTATGTTGACATTTTCATGCTTGATTATTTTTTTGATGAGTTCCTTATTTTTTCCCATACTGCCTTGTCAATTTGAAATCCATCACTTGTCTGTTGCATTAAACAGCTAGATCCCTATTTTATAACCTGCCCCACAGCTACTGCTGCCTACAGTAGATCCCCCTGTTTTTTTCTACTTCTTTTATTAACTGTGTATGCCTTTTTTCCCAGGTACATCAGAATACGTGAGAGTGTGGCAGAGTCCAGCTGAAAAAAATTGTTTTTTCCCATCATACACCGCTGCCAGTCTGCCGTTCCAACTATCACAGCGTCCCAATCTTCTCTACTGACATTGGTCAACATATATTGGGCCAGTAAGTATTCATTGATATTGCAGTGGGCGCTAAAATGTGGTTTCCAATCTCTTCCCAAAAGGGGATGAGTATTTTCTCACCCCTGTCCTCTGCCAATATTTCTGAGTCATCAATGTCTGTGACATGAAAAAGGTTCTCAAGTGCACCCCCGATTTTCTTATCTTACTAAAATTATTCTTTGAGAGTGCTGCCCTCTTTTATGACAGTAAATTTTTAGAGACAGAGACCATCTCCCCAAACCCAAGGTGACCAAGCATCTTAACAGTGCCCTGAGGTTTTTCTTCACAAAAGCACATGTCCTTCATTCCCTTGCAAAAAGAACTCTCTTTACTTTGTCAATTTTATATTCAGTGTAAATTTGATGTCTTTTGCAGCTCACTCCCAAATTCGGCAATTATTTGGCTGAAGCTCCCACCTTTCTCTTTATCATGCTCTTCCACATCAACAAACGTACAAGTGTTTTTCCCTGCTTGCTGGCATCACTGTCAATTGTATTTACACGAGTGACAAGTGTCAACAGGAGTCGATCAGTGCTACTTTAAAGGTTCGTTGGTGATGGAATTGTTGGTGATATTTTTCAAAAGTATTAATTATTGTGACCATTAATTTTCCATCCCTTTGTATTTCTAGATGGACTCCAATAATCAACAAAGCCGGCCACTCAACCAAGACCCGGACACATACAAAGTCATCATGCTGAGGATCCCGTTCATTTTATTATTAAGTGGGTTGCAACTCAGAACTTTGAGTTGACTTAGCAAGCATGATGTGAAATAATTTTTCTTTGAAAGTGTGTTGGGATTTTGTATGAGTCATCCTTTGTAGTCACTCAAGCACATGTAAAATAATTTTTGGATTTGTGTGGTGTATGTGTTTTGCATTCATTAGTTAAACTGTGGAAGCTGCTTTGCTTGATAGAAAAATTGTGACTGCAAGGAATCAAGTAATGTTAAAGAGGTGTGCCAAATGTGAAGCTTGAGTTAGCAGTGGTTCTCTTCTGACTATGTTCATAATGTCTTGTGATGTAAGGTTGATTTCTTATTATTTTCAGTGTAGGTTTTGTAAATCTTAATAAAGATGCAGGCTGTTACAATGGAGAACATGTCTCACACCCATGTTTTGCTTGCTATTGCTATTCAAAGTGCTAGTTCTAGTTCATCAGATCTTTTATCAAACATTATGTTGGAAAAGAGGCAAAAAATATTGAAGCAAATAAAGAGGAGTATATTTTATTGGTGTCAGGAACTTTTCTCGAGAAACTCAGGAATGACAAGGAATGAACAACTATGAATAAAACTTTTGACCATGACAAGTACAAAAAACATAATAACATTTGCAACTATCAGTTTGAATTTAAACAGGATCTTGGTAGTCATTTTGAGAGAGCAAACTTGAGTCACAATTTTTATTTGAACAGTTTAGGGTTTAGACTTAACATAGTTTTAGACATCAGTGAATATAGTGGCTTATTTTAAAGACACAGAATGCTGTATTACTTTCTCTTTAACATTTTAAAATTGCTACTGCTTTAGTAATCTTAGAGAGGTTCATGTTGAGTTACAATTATTTAGGTAGGCTTTTCAGAAACAATTAGATTGCTATATTACCTTTCCTTTAACATTAAATGATAACTTGCCTTTAAAATCATACAGTGGTTGAGGTTGAGCATACTTCAGGCCTCTTGCTGGGATGGATTTTAGTTCACCTAATGCATCTTCGGGTATTTCGTATGTTCCCACTGTGTTGTTGAATGTCGCTGTTATGCAATTTAGCACAAACTGTACTTCATTGTCCGTACTCAGTATGACTTTGATTCTTCCACAATCAATATCTCTTCCATTAGATTTCAAAAGAAGTAAGGATCCAATATCGTATGAAATACCATCTACATTGATGGATTTACATGAACGGCATCTTCCTTGAGTGATCGACATTGAACTTAAAAATGTTTTCAGTTCACCTTGGTAGGAATCAATGGAGAATATTTGAGCATCTGTTTCGATGCAGCCTTCGTGGAAAAGGGGTCCAGTTGCCTTGAAGGCTAGATTCAACTGGTGACGCATTGCACAGGTGTATTCTACATTAATGAAGTTCCTGCTCAGCCTGACTACATGTTTGAAAAGTTTGTGCTTCTGCTCAAATCCTAAAGTCCAAACTTGTATCAAGGGACCATACCTGAGCATCAATTCACAGTAGTGGCCAAAAGAGAAGTGATACTTTGGCTTCAGGGGATACATTGATTCATCCAGGACCTCTGATCGTCGCTCAAAGTACAGAGGTACAAGTACATCCTTGATGTATGGCACATCAGATTTTAAAAACGTATGGCCACAAAAATATTCACAAAGTTCCTTCAGTTGAAGGTAAAGCTTCCAGGCAGGGTCTTCAAAGTCTTTAATTTTATCTCCAATAATGAAAGGAAGAAGTCTTAGTAGTGCCCAGTTCTGGACTGCATGGCCACCCAACTTTTTATATTTTGACTTTCCTTTATACCTCACGTTGGCTGGTTTGTTGGGCGCATCAATTCCTTGGCACTGAAACTTGTTAATTCTCTTATTTAGCAACTTATAGGAGAACCATTTCTTCTTCACAAAACTTCTGATGATACCAGAAAGATCCCGGGAGACCACACCTTCGAAAAGGTCGTGAGCAATGCATGGGCAGAGGTGGCTCACTGCATGAAAATTCTGAAGATCATTGAAAACACAATCACCCTTAACACCTTTACAAGGTTCTTCAGTCACTTTTGCTTCTCTGACACAATTTTCATAATCTTCTTTACTTCTTGGCGGATTGGTGTGCTCTGGATTTTCTTTAAACACACCTTTCTCTATGTCACAAAAACGGCAGAAATAAATTGAAGTGAAACACTCAATGAAACCTCCTATTGTGTGCTGACCTAAATTATCACCAAGCATATAGATCACTTTCACTTTTATGTTCTCATCTTTATATGTTGTTCCAACTGTTTCAAGTGATTTAAGTTCCTTAAGAGCGTCTTTAAAACACTTCTTTGCTCCAACTTCCTTGAATACAGATTCTCTCACCATCACCACAAGATGCTTGGAGTCAATTTTAGATCTATTTTCATCTTTCAAATTACCTAAGGTAAAGTACATGACCAATGATTTGTACTTGTCTTTTGCAGACCCGAGTGCATTCATTACAGGATTATATGAGTCAATGTAGAGAAACAAGTGTAGTTCTTTCTTCTCATGGTTTTCTTCCTTGAAAAGGGATCCATCAGTGTAGTCAGAAACTTCATCTGAGTTTGAGGAACACTTCAAAAAGGATGCATCAACATCTTTTTGCACAACAGGATCTTTCAAAATAGTTGCCAGAGTATTGGTAACAGGTACATACTGAATTTTTAGGTCAGGATCCATATGGTTACTCAGGCTCACTTCATCAGGTGCTTGAAAGTCATAATGTTTCTTGAAATATTCTTTCCTAAGGTAATCTGAAGTGAAGCTTGGACCAGGAGCATTTTTATGATGAGTAGTAAATAAAATGTCAGCACTTGAAACCTTATAACATAATTCATTTGCTTGAAGTTGCTCTACACCAAGGGTTTCCAAACCAGTTCTCATAATTTTTTTCATTCTCAAATTGTTAAGACCACAAATAAATGAAATGCCATTGCAAATTTCTTGAATAGTTTCATATGGTAAAAAGAATTCCCCATAAAGTTGAAGATAGAATTTTGCAATTTTGTCCACAATTAAGTCATCGTTAAGCAATTCCCAATCTTCTGTTTCTTCATCATTGACATCATCTCTGATGTCCTCACCAGAACCACCTTGATTGACACCACAGCCAAAACTTTCGGTGAAATGGCTGTCTCCTGCTGTACTGCTTTTATCAACTCTCTTCCTCTTAGATGGTGGGGCACCCTCATCACGCCATCCTTGGTGATATTGACTAAGATGAACTCGTAATGTTTTAGATTTAAGAAAGAGGCTGGGATGGCGACAGTCTTCAACTGGGCATCGTACACCACTCGATGGAGAACCAGAATCCAAGTGTACGCAAATATGTTGTACCAAACTCCAAAAAGAATCCATTGTTTGGGGGCATCCTAAAACTGTGCATGGTAGTTTCTTGTCAGCTTCAGGGTCTTCTAGATTTTGATGTTTGATTTCTCTATGGAACATTGATACATGATAGTTCAGGGCATTGAAAGATTTTGAAACATATATACACTCCGGAGAAGGGCAGTAAAACATAAAATTACTGCTTCTTGAATGGTAATACTGGTGCCGCACACAACTTGCAATAGTTTCAGTAAAAAAACCACATGACTTGAACTTGCATGTTGGGCCTGGATTCTTTTCGATGTTCCCAATAAACAGCAGAACCATGATCAAGGCCAAGACTGGCATTATAGTTGAGGTCCATTTTCTTCCTCCTGATCTACTGGAGCTGCTCCTGCTATGGCATTGTCGATGACTGAACAGCCCAATCGCCAACCTCCAGGTTTCAAGTGACACGCCCATGGCAGGATCTAGAAAACAAATGGAAATTGATCAGATAAGGTCTTGTTACATGCATTTAATGAGAGCTCCATGATTATTAAATCAATTTTCCGTACGTTCTAGGGTTTTAACGGGCTGATCGACGAAAAACTTTCTTTCAGCCAATGGGTTCCAAGCAACACAACCCTGGCAGGACCTAAAAAACAAATAAACTTGATCAGGCAAAGACTTCTTACATGCAATTAATAGGAGCAACAAGATTATAAAATCAATTCTCCCTACTTTTGGGGGTTTTAACGTCACATTTGACCAATGCAAGCCAAAGAAATAATATTTTTCAACTTGTACGAGCAACGAACAAGAGAATCGCCCTCCAAAACACGTGATGCAGGCTGTACAACCTCCTGCATTAATTAAAGTTACAGCTTTCATGTAAAACATAGAAATTTGTTGGCAAAGATGTATCTATATATGTAAAAAAATTAATTGGCGTCTTTAAATGTTGTTTCCATGGCATAAAAATATTCTTGTAAACTTTTCTTAAAGAAAATGTTTTTGGTGGAGTTGAGTGCCACCCTGTGCAGATAAAGAAGAACAAGAAGAAGCGAAGGCGCTGGTCATGTAAAAAAGGCGCGCATACGTCACATCCGCCATTATCCTAGCTAAAGCCCGCGAGAGACCTTTGTTCGAAGACAACTTGAGATATATTAATTGTAATCCGCTCCAATTCCTAAAGAATACGCCTCTGCAAGTAAGTTTAGGGTAAAAGTCGTGGAGTTTGGTTTGCCACTGGACAAGCAGGACCAAGTTTCCATCGTAACTCGTTCTTTTTTCGTAATGGACCTTCTCTCTCGAACCTATAGCCAGCCAAAGCAAGCAGCAATGAGGTTTGCTGCAACCATAGGATATGCTCAAAACTAACTTCAGATTTGATTGTGTCATCAATAGAAAAATTAGTTCTGCACATGCACAACGCCTTATTGGTTGTTGCTTCCCTTAAGCCAGCGATTCCGAGCAGTGCTTTGAGGGCTTGTCTTTCTCACCCACAGAGGCCCTGTAGCCTTGGGATACTAGGATCCCCAGGGACAACAAAAAAGTCCAAATTATGTCAATATGATCTCAAAGTGAGCCATCTTTGGTCCAAATTTGGTCCATTTTGATGTCCAAATGACATCATTTGATGTCAGTGTGATTTGTTTTTGACTACCTGTTCTCCTTGAGGAGTGCGACTGCAGCGGCCTGGCATGTCCATGAGTGACTTAGTGCTTTGAGTTCATTTCTAGAATGCATGGTGTGCGACACATTATGACTGCAATCTTTTCTCTTGTTTCATAGGAAATGGACCCGACAGATTTCAATGATTTTTTAGATGCTGACGTGAAGCGGGTTCTGCCTCACTTGAAAGATGATGACATTACAGCCCTTGTCAATTTTCTGATTATCAAAGGATGTAAGAAAGAGCGGGACCTGAGAATCATGACAATTCCCATTCTGGAATCACAACTGGATCTAGTAGACGCAACAGACCTCTATAATGAGTGGCAGGCCAAGTATGGTAAGATCTTGAAATGCTTATTACTCGCCATTCAGTCCAGGCAGCATGATTTTATTCTATAACACTCCATCCATTTGAATTTAAATGGACTTTTCAATAATGCTTTCTTGTTTCCTCCACATTTGTGAGGGAACCATCAATTATTTTGTTTTGTTGTTTTGTGAGCAACACCCAGTAATCAGAATTTATGAGCATTCAGATTTATATTTCCTGCTATTTTGTTATCAACTTTGTTTGTTCCAAGGTTGATGATATTTCTCGGGAGATATAAGGAATTGTAAAGAAAAAAATGATAATTGCCATCCTTGATAGAAGTAGGAAAAAATATTGCAGTTTTTATTCCATTCTTAATTTTGATCTATTTTAACTTCTACTGTTCCAGGTGCAAGTCAGCCTTCCACATCTTCCAACTCCCATGCCCCAGAAGTCAATTCAGCTCCTTCAACTAGCAGAGGAGTTCTCTCAGTCAATTCAGCTCCTTCAACTAGCAGAGGAGTACTCTCAGAAAGGCAGCTCAGGCAGGAGGTGGAGGCACAACAGTTTGGGATGCCTACATTTGATAAGGACAGTCCATATATGCCAGCCGGAGTTAGACAAGCAATTTTAGAAAATAGAAGGCCATTGCCTAGACATAGAGAGGATATGGTTGAAAGAATGGTTGATTATTGCCGGGAAACTGTTCCTAATTTATCAAGGAAATCGTTTAATTCAGTGGCTGACTCGTTGGTTACACTGTACCCCAATTCCTTTGAAGACTCAATTGCTGTGAATAACAGAAGAAGTAACAGCCTGCGGGCCCAATTTAAAAGCAAGTTTGACAACGACAGGAGACCAACCACATTTTCCAAGAAAGAAGTGGAATCTCCCAATATTCCCTCTGCTTTTGGATGTATCTCCTGGAGTCCCATCCTCCCAGATGGGGAAACTGAAGAGTCATTGCTTCAAAAGAAGGAAACCCTTCAAGACATGTTTAGGCTTTCCAAGAAGCAGTGGAACTGGAAATCAATAAAAGGCCATCTTCAAAGCACCTTTTACCTTCAGAGGAAAGAAATAAATGGGCCTGCCTCTGCCTCCGCCTCCGCCTCCAAATCTAAGAAGAGGAAACGCGTGGCAGAAGAAGAGAACGAAGTAGACCAGCCAAGAGGAATGACTGTAGGCCAAATTGCAGAAGAATGGCCGTTCCTTTTCAAAGCAAAGGGCATGAACATTCATTTCACCCAATTAACTGGGGTTGATTTCAAAGAAAAATTTAACAACTTCATAAATCAGGAGGGAACTGTACTTGTAGAATATTTGGCGTGCAAAAGTGAGGATTTGGCTAAGATTAGAAGAAAAATGACAAGAGCAGAAGCACGTTCCCTTAAGTCTACCACTGCTAAAGCTGTCATTCAAATGATCATAATCTATTTCAAAGAAAAGTTGGAAGACATGGCTGTTTTTGTTGAGGTTTGTTTTTGTGTTAGCATATTATAATGACTAGGGCCAAACTAAAAGTAATGAATAATTGAAAATTTTTTTTCTGCCTAGGAAACTACTACTATTGATGATGTGAACGATGTTGCCACATATCCAGAAGATGGAACTCCTAGCTTGATCGTCGCTGGTACGAATAATTTTAAGATAATGACATTCATAAGTTTATAAGAACTCACTTCCAGAACTTTTCTCACTGTATTGCTTCCCCCTCCAGGCCAAAACTTGTTCTCAGCCAGCACTTTCTTTTTGACTGTCGATCAGCAAGTAGTGGCATCAACATCACACTTTGAAGAAGCATTTTGTATGCTGTTTGGCTCCTACTTTATGCTGAACCTCAAGTTTTCCTCAAAATTAGAGATTTCTCTGACTTTTGTCCAAAAGTATGTAGAAGGCTGACTAGGTGAATTTGCTTACTTGTCTGAAGTTTTAATTCAAATGTTGATCATGCCATTTACTGTATGTTTAGGGTAATCGCTCAGATCAACCCAGAACAGGGATCAAAGGGAGACAGCACAGCTTCAGTCCGTAGACAAATCAACAACAAGGTTCTCAGGCTCAGTAATGGTCTTCAAGATTTCAAACAGAAGGTAGACAGAGAAGAAAATGAAGAAAACTGAATATATTAATGAATTCACCAGAGTTACTATCTATTCCTTTTTGTTTCTTTTTATGTATTCAAGCAGACAGTGTGTTGTCGCTAAGTCAACTATTTTAAGTTTCAGAAGTTTAAATAATTAGTTATAAAATTTTATTAATGAGTGAATCTTAATTCATAGGTTACATCTCATGCTCAGATTGTTAAACAAGAATATCAAATTGGTTACTAATTACTAAAGAAGTTTATGACCTTGTGTTAAATCATCCTATTAATCAATTATTTAAGTTACACTATGTGGTTCAGCGGGGCATTAAAGTTTAATCGCAATTAAAATTGTGACTCAAGTTTGCTCTCTCAAAATGACTACCAAGATCCTGTTTAAATTCAAACTGATAGTTGCAAATGTTATTATGTTTTTTGTACTTGTCATGGTCAAAAGTTTTATTCATAGTTGTTCATTCCTTGTCATTCCTGAGTTTCTCGAGAAAAGTTCCTGACACCAATAAAATATACTCCTCTTTATTTGCTTCAATATTTTTTGCCTCTTTTCCAACATAATGATTTGATAAAAGATCTGATGAATTAGAACCAGCACTTTGAATAGCAATAGCAAGCAAAACATGGGTGTGAGACATGTTCTCCATTGTAACAGCCTGCATCTTTATTAAGATTTACAAAACCTACACTGAAAATAATAAGAAATCAACCTTACATCACAAGACATTATGAACATAGTCAGAAGAGAACCACTGCTAACTCAAGCTTCACATTTGGCACACCTCTTTAACATTACTTGATTCCTTGCAGTCACAATTTTTCTATCAAGCAAAGCAGCTTCCACAGTTTAACTAATGAATGCAAAACACATACACCACACAAATCCAAAAATTATTTTACATGTGCTTGAGTGACTACAAAGGATGACTCATACAAAATCCCAACACACTTTCAAAGAAAAATTATTTCACATCATGCTTGCTAAGTCAACTCAAAGTTCTGAGTTGCAACCCACTTAATAATAAAATGAACGGGATCCTCAGCATGATGACTTTGTATGTGTCCGGGTCTTGGTTGAGTGGCCGGCTTTGTTGATTATTGGAGTCCATCTAGAAATACAAAGGGATGGAAAATTAATGGTCACAATAATTAATACTTTTGAAAAATATCACCAACAATTCCATCACCAACGAACCTTTAAAGTAGCACTGATCGACTCCTGTTGACACTTGTCACTCGTGTAAATACAATTGACAGTGATGCCAGCAAGCAGGGAAAACACTTGTACGTTTGTTGATGTGGAAGAGCATGATGAAGAGTAAGGTGGGAGCTTCAGCCAAATAATTGCCGAAGTTGGAGTGAGCTGCAAAAGACATCAAATTTACACTGAATATCAAATTGACAAAGTAAAGAGAGTTCTCTTTGCAAGGGAATGAAGGACATGTGCTTTTGTGAAGCAAAACCTCAGGGCACTGTTAAGATGCTTGGTCACCTTGGGTTTGGGGAGATGGTCTCTGTCTCTCAAAATTTACTGTCATACAAAGAGGGCAGCACTCTCAAAGAATAATTTTAGTAAGATAAGATAATCTGGGGTGCACTTGAGAACCTTTTTCATGTCACAGACATTGATGACTCAGAAATATTGGCAGAGGACAGGGGTGAGAAAATACTCCATCCCTTGTGGGAAGAGATTGGAAACCACATTTTAGCGCCCACTGCAATATCAATGAATACTTACTGGCCCAATATATGTTGACCAATGTCAGTAGAGAAGATTGGGACGCTGTGATAGTTGGAACGGCAGACTGGCAGCGGTGTATGATGGGAAAAAACAATTTCTTTCAGCTGGACTCTGCCACACTCTCACGTATTCTGATGTACCTGGAACAAAGGCATACACAGTTAATAAAAGAAGTAGAGAAAAAAACAGGGGGATCTACTGTAGGCAGCAGTAGCTGTGGGGCAGGTTATAAAATAGGCATCTAGCTGTTTAATGCAACAGACAAGTGATGGATTTCAAATTGACAAGGCAGTATGGGAAAAGATAAGGAATCTCATCAATAAAATAATCAAGCATGAAAATGTCAACATAGAGGCTTCAAAGCAAAGCATGTTTTGGAAAGAAAATCAGTGGAACAAGGGACTTGCAGCAGGCTGCATTTCCAAGCATGACACCACTAAATCCATTCCAGGGGGCCACAGTTTCCATCAGAGCGAGGCAAAGGAGGCCAGGACTTCTTCTCATTGAAAAAAGTTACGACTGTTGCTTGAAGAGAAAGTGAAAGTAAATCAAGCAGCTGGATTTGAGAAAGGAAAGCCTAAACGCCAGTGTTTACAATTCACAACTCGCTCGCGAATGGAAACAGTGAAAGGGTGGTTCATGAAAAATTCAGCAAAAGGCGTGCACGCAAAGAAAAACAACTCGCAGTTCAAAACGCAAGCAAGGGCCAAAAAATTTAAATGATTACCCTTTTGTTTCGCTTTTCTTGACCACAACCGTCAGCGATGCGTCGCAGGGCTAGAAAGGATGAAGAGCAAGATCGCGTTTTCGTTTGTCGTCTCCTTTGGAGGAGCAGCAGACGATTTGGCGGCTCTGCCTCCCCTCCCCTCCCCTCCCTTCCCTTCGGTAACCTGTGCCTTGCAAAACAAACCAAACAATACACAGTCAACAGGAGCCTTCTGCGTCGCGTCGGTCGAAAAGTTTGCCACTGCGCTGTTGCGAATTATGTTACTTTTTTGTGAAATTTACTGGAGAAATTGAAAACTTGCACGATGAATGTAGCAGCCATATCGCCAGGTAGTCAAAGTGCACTCCAGTTGAACATGTCATCAAACATTGCTGGCTCAGAAAACAGATTGCTGATGAAGCTTAAACGTGGAACGAAGAGGTTATCATTCGGAGTGTGGAGCCTATCCTCGAGTTGCTGCAGAGGAGCGCTCATTTCAAGCCTCACCCAGCCTACTAACAAATGGATTATTCATCAGGTTAGTTATGTCACCCATTCCCCCGCCCTCCTCTTGAAGGTATGTGTGAGAATTCTTTGTTCTCAATGTTATTAAAAGTCAGGCCTTTTGGTGACAAGAGCTTTGGAGGAGGGGGCAGAGTCATCAAATTACAAGGGTGCTGGACAGAACATGACTTAACAATTGCTTGGATTCAAAATTCTCTTGTCTTTGCAGCTTGTTAGAAACAAGTTTCATTTTTTTTTTAATTTGGTTGCGTCTGACAAATGTCTTGTGAACGACTGGTGCTGTTTCAATACGACATTTGTCGTACCTGTACGACATGATTTTGATGATGTCTTGTCAGACGGTACTACGGGTATTTTGTTTTGAAACAATACATTCATTCTGATACGACAACGCTCCAACTGCATGTTCGTTCTGAAACAATACTTGTTGCTAAAAAAATTAGCGATGAATGTGTCGTAAAATTACGACAAAATTTTTGACAGTGTGGGCATCTGTTTCCTGAAACAAAAAGAAATATATATAAATAAATCTTCCTTATATTCAACCTACTGAGAAGATTTAAAATTATAGATAGAATGCTGTTTTAATAAATAGAAAAAAAAATAAAACTATTCAACGTTACCTTTGATATTTGTTGCTTCAGACTCCCTGCCCCCGTCTCTTGGGAAGATGACACCTTGGTTGACTGAGAACTCAAAGATTTGGTTCTTTGGCCCGTCCCGTTTATTTTTTGTAAAAAAAGACGGAGGGACGGGCATATAGTATGATCCCTGCTGTGCGTGCGTGCGTGCGTCCGTCCGTCCGAGGACTTCCCGTGGTCCGATCTTGACCAAATTTGGTATGCAGCCTCCTTGGGTGACCCTAAGAACTGCCCGGTGGCAGCAAAACCGATCCGAGCAGCGGGGGCGCTGCTGCAGGTGCATCATGGTCTACATGGGGTCGAGGAGGATTTCGGCAACGGATACAGCTAGGAGGGCATGTAGGGGTATTTTTGGAATCGGGGCGACGAAACAAAACCAACGGTGCCAGTTTCAAGTGAATCGGAGAAGTTTGGACCCGGGTACAAATCCCAGTAGGGTATGTTTTGGACATTCTTTTTATTCAAATTTTTGCATTGTTTCTGATGTTTTTGAGGGCGCTGATGACGAAAATAACATTTACTTTGACCCCACGCTCACACTTAAAAATTGAACACTTATTTGCTTTGGGAACACATTTTTATGTGACATTGGTACGCTTTCACAGCCCGCCAAATTGAAATAAAAAAGAAACCTGCCCTGGGCCTCCCTGTTTTGTCTCTTTGATGCGTTGGATGTCCACTTTGTTGGTTTATGCTGGTGGATGAATATGCACTCTAAGATGAATCTCAAAACAAAGGCAAAACATGCGATCATACTGTTTTTATTTATACCATCAGCTACACATTAGCAAGGTAGGTGTACGACAGACAGTGGCTTGTAACAGGCTTCGCGATGCTGCGTCAGGTCCGACAATCCACGCCTGGCGTTAACACTTACCTTGGCCTGCGGCGCTGGCCTGCCTTCGGCAGACTCTCTCGCCACACATTGCCACAAAAAGAGACCTGACCGCACATCAACGCACTCGTCGTCCATGCTGCGTGCGTAGTGCCTGGTCGGCAAGAGTTGCTGCTAAGGCGTCCATCAACGCCGGGCTCATCTTCCACTTCTTCTCTGCATACTCAACAGTGTACTCAGTACACTCTCTCTAGCGTGTACCCACGAGTACACTCTCTTCAGCGTGTACTCACGAGTACACTATCGTCAGCGTGTGCTCACGAGCACACTCCCACGAGCGTGTACTCAACTGCATATATTTCAAGGATCTGAGCACACTCTCGTTAGAGTGTAAGGGAGAGTGGGGTAATTCCGGACGCTTTTTTTCTTTTTGGTCTTTGAGCTTGAATATGCTTCTTGGGTCAAATGTTACTACAGGAGAGTAAAGTATGGACCTTTACCTTCAAAATGATATACATGAAAGCCAAATCTCAGCAACGGTTGGGGAGATATAGGCGCCCAACAAAGCCCTGCAAGTGTCCGGAATTGCCCCAGGCGGGGGAAATTTCCCGGACGACCTAGGGGGCAATTCCGGACGACCTTAATATTTGACACCACTCGAGCTTACTTTCGCTTGTTTTGATGTGAGGCATGCTTTCAGAAGGCGCACAAGGACTTTTGCTGCGAACTGAAGTGTTTGATTTTACTCAAAGCTATTATAAAAAATAGTTTCTATCAAAACCCCAAAATTGACAACACTGTCTTGAGTAATGCTCTTAAACATAGCTGCTATGCTATTTTTCGTTCTTTCTTTATCCTTCTAAACGGGGGGGATGCATTCCACAGTTTTAACCCACTACCTTAACATTATGCGGGAAATTGAAGAAAATAACCCTCTTGCCCGGTTTTCCCCCAAGGTAGTGAAAACCTTTGATGTTCAATTGTAAAAAACGGCGAGCCATACGAGCAATCCCGAAAGGTCATAGTAAAGTCCAATGCCCATAAAATTTGATAAAATTTTAGTCATGGGACTGAACTTGACGGAAAGGGTACGATAAGTACAGGGAAAATACGGGGGAAAGATGCAGTTTTTGCCTATTTTTGATGGTACTCAAATTTCGTGAAGCGACCACACCCAAACGGTTTGACCTCCTACCTTGGGGGTTTGGAATTATCTTTTTAACTGATTATCTTTCTCTGTTACGGGGGCTTTTGAGTTATCTTAACTCAAACCCAGTGAAAATCGAAGTGTCCGGAATTACCCCGTGTCCGGAATTACCCCACTCTCCCTTACTCATCTAGGCACACTTTCGTTAGTGTGTACTCATCATCTAAGCACACTCTCGTTGGAGTGTACTCATCTGAGTACACTCTCGTTGGAGTGTATTTGTGAGTACACGCTGAACAGCACTGGTAAAACAAAGGCATAAAAATTACGCCCTTTAGGGCATAAATACTCTTTTACGCCCTTGCAAGGGCATAAATCGTTTTATGCCCTTGGGAAGGGCGTAAATGGTATAGAAATTTCAAGCAAAATTTTAATGCCCTTCCCAAAGGCATTAACGATTTATGCCCCAAGGGCGTAAATCGTTTACGCCCTTAAAGGGCATAATTTTTATGCCTTTGTTTCACCAGTGAGAGTGTACTGAGCACACTGTTAAGTTTGCAGAGTTCTCGCCATACATTGCCACACAGAGACCCTTCCACTTCTCGCTCCTGCTGCTACCGCAGATGCTGCTGAAAGTTGTGAAATGAAATTTTGCATCAAAATGTGGTACTCTTAGGTTGATAGGTCAAAAACTCAAATGTCTTCTTCGATTAAATGTTTAACTTGAAAATGTCGTTTCCAAAATACGTCATCCTGAAAAAAATAAAAATTTCACCAAAAGGTCTCCTAAGGTGTCTACTTCAATGTCCTAAAGTGCTTCAAAAAGTATTTGAGTCTTGCAGTATTTGCAGGGGAAACCGTGATGAAATGTGCCCAAAAAGTGCACTTTTTCACTCTTCGCCTAGCCTACGATGGTCCTGTTGCAGTCCCACTCCTTCACCACCCTCAAAACTGTTTCTCCTATGCCCATCATCGATTCAAAGTAATTGTTTGAGTAAGTCTGAGCGCTCAGGGAAGGGGTCAGATCAAATTCCAGCTTAGAACTTTGCGTAACCAAGACATCAAATCGACTACTGAGTAACTCCATCCCAAGGTGGACCGAGATCTGGAATTGGGTCACGGATTAGATTCAAACTTTGTGGGCCTACCACCACCTTTCTTTTTCTTTTTTTATGACTAGAAAGAAGAATCACAAGCCAGAACTAAAAAAACCACTTTTACCCTAAAAAATCAGGACGCGACATTTTTCCGCTAAATTTGTCGAATTTAGAAAAATGTTA